TGGGGGGTGATTTCTAGCTTTCTGTCTCTATGTCTGTCTCTGTCTGTCTGGCGAACGCACACGCCCTATAGCAAAAACTTCTCAAAAAAAAAAAAAAAAAAGGTTTTTCTTAAATGATTATTTTATTTAACTTTATTTATTTCAATTTGACCAGAGAGGGACAGAGAGAGAGAGAGAGAGAGAGAGAGAGAGGGAGGGAAACTGGGCAAGCAAGCCGCCAGGTCCAGGATTCTAACCATAGTCGGCCACGTGGGAATCCAGCACCCTTAACTACCAAGCCACCTGCTGGCTCCCAAAAATGTTTTTAATAATTATTTTTAATTTATTTTTTAATTCACCAGAGAGACGGAGAGGGAAAGTGAGAAGGCAAGCCACCAGGACTTAAACTGCAGTCAACCATGTGACCATGCCACCTGCTAGCTCCAAGATTATTTTTAAATAGAAGAAAAAATAGAATGTGTTATCTGATGAGACTAACCTAAGAAGGAAAAGTTAATAAACAGAATGAAAAAGAATGCCACATCTGGGCCCTTTGCATGGGCCCTGGTAAGGGACAGACTCTAATAGTGGAAGCGCCTGCCTTGAACAGGGCAGGAGCACACGTGTAGCTGGGTGAGATGCCAGGAAAGGAACCTGTAACGACTTTCAGAGTTTAGAAAAAGGTAACAGAATGAGAACAGTATTAGAAATTTAAGTCTTCGAAGAGTAAATGGGAGAGAAATGGGACACTGTGAAATGGTACAAAGGGCTTGGTGAGGTTGTGATGTTATTAGTTTTGCTATACAGTGTGTGCACTAATGGAAATGACCCCCCGCCCCGGCCCAAGGTAGATGCCTGCGCTGCAATCTCTTCTCCTCCACTGTCATCTCAGGATCCTGGGCACACACACGCACACACACACGCCCAGCATGATTTTCAAGGTACCGGGTCTGGGACTTGAACCAGTCAGCCATGAGGAATCCAGTGCCTTAACCTCCCTGCCAGGGTCATGATTAAACACAGGCTGAATTAGCATGCTCAGCTGCACGGAACCTATGTGCAGAAAAGATGGAAGTACTGAACTCAACTGGAAAGAGCTTCTCCAGGCAAGCATCAAAATAATGAAGTGGGACCAGTAGTTAGCATAATGGCTATATCACTGGACTCCCATGTAGTAGACTGCAGTTCGCGTCCCGGACACGGTGACTTAAAACTCACGCCGGGCGCGTGTGCGTGCGTGCGTGCCCAAGATCCCAAGAGAATGGAGAAGGGATTGCGGCGTGGCCATACCCCCGGCGGGTGATTTCCTGTCTCTCTGTCTCTGTCTGACGAGCAGATGCGCCCAATAGCAAAAACCTCTCAAAAAAAGAAAAAAAAAAAAGAGGAAGCACGAGATGGGACAAGACAATGCACTGTAGAGCCAAGAATGACTGTCACAATGGACCACAGAATATAACCTGGGTAATGGAGTAAGGACACAAGACGCAAACATTAAAAACAAGTGACAGTACAAGTGAATTAAAAGTAACACAGTACTGTAACCACCGAATGTACTGTTTCTATGCCGACATATCTGACTCTCGACTAAGGCCCTCCAAAATGGGATCAGTGTCTTACCTTTCAATTCGCAGGACCTTAAAATTCAAGTTACCAGGGCTGTCAACTGGACTCCCATGTGGTCAACTGCAGTTTGAGTCCCGGGCCCAGTGGCTTAAAACATGCCAGGCCTATACGCATGTGTGCCTAAATCCCAAGGGGAGACTAGAGGAGAAGGGATTGCAGCGTGGCCATCCCCCCAGCGGGTGATTTCTCACTTTCTGTCTTTGGCTCTCCCACACCCTATAACAAAAATCTCTCTCTCTCAAAAAAAAGAAAAGTCAAGTTACCTAGACAGATGAATGCTTATGCATGGTTAAAGGTAAATTACCCCAAAGCCAGTAACATGTAAAGTTGCTACTTCCTGTTTTGTAATAGTCCATATAAAAGTTAACAATGATTCATCAAAACCGAGGTGGGGCCGGCAGGTGGCGTGGTGCTTAAGGGTGCTGGACTCCCACTTGGCCAACTGTGGTTCAAGTCCTGGACCTGGAAGCTTGCTTTCTCTCTTTCTCTCTCTCTCTGGAAATATTAAAATAATAGTAAATAAAGTTAAATAATTCTTTTTTTAAAAGAAAATCTAGGGCATAAACAAATCTTTGGAATAAGAGACACTGAATTCCTAGTGTTGTGTCTAAGAAGTGGACTATAAAATGTGCAAACGTATCCCAACTACTAAGTCTGCCCTTACTGAACACCTGGGTGGCATGAAATCTTTGAAATTCCCAACCTCTAATTATTTCACCTCATTGCAATAAATCAGCACAACTCAAAACAGGCCTCGAGAACAACAGAGAAAAGGGACCAGACATAAAATGAAACTAACTTCTAAGCAGACATAAATGAACTCCAATTTGGGAGTGGAGAGGAAAAATACACAAAGAGCATGTAAAATACGTTTTATTGTTCTTTAAAAGGATTCAGGGTTTGGTTTTAAATCAGGCTGCATACCTTCCATCAGTCTGACATCTCTCTCTCAACATGTCAAACTGGCTTCAACTAGCAATACTTCATTAAATCCAAAAGAAAAAATTGTTTTAATTTTGAGGAAAAAGAAAATCCAGTTCTGAGAACAATTAACATTAGTCTGCAATTTAAAACAAAATCAGGGCTAATGTTTCCTGTTGCTCTAGACGCCCTTCTCACACAGAACCAGGAATGGAATCTCCCCAACTCAAGTAGGCACTGGTACTGATGGACGCGCGCGCACACACACACACACACACACACACACGCACACGCACGCACACACCCTCCCCCAAATAAAACTCAGAGCATGTCGAAGGGAAAAGGTCTGTTATGATATTGATCAACACCCTTGGAATCAACAGACGGTCGAGCTGAGCTGAGAGGGTATGCCGTTTTGCCTGTGAGTCTATGTTAACAGAATCTATTGTCCTGTTCTGAAGTAAAGAATTTTGGATAGTACCATCATTTTTTACTTTAAAATTCTAGAAACAATTTCAGAAAGCATTATTTTGTTTTGTATTCTGGAATGGCAGAAAAGAGAATCTACACATTTGCTTTTAGTAAAAATGAAGACAATTCTGGCAATAGGGAATAGGCAGTTCACAGAGCCAGCCAGCATCTGAGGTATCAGCAGCATGAGACGAGGTCCCAGTCCGTTCCCGCTGGCCTGGCTCATGCAGGAAGCTGATGGCTCTGCACAGCAATTCCAGCAGGACAAGATGATACTCCGCCTGTACCCAGAGCCTTAGAAGCAGGGCACTACTGAGTATGTAACGTTTAGGTGAAGAGAGAGCAAGAGCCCAACGATTTCCCTCCACTTGGTTTTGCCATCACAGCCTGGTCATAACTGCCTTCCCCTAAAAGCAGAAAAACAGCTTTTCTAGATCAGCACACTGAACTCAGCAAAGAACCTGCCAAAATGCCACACCTCTTCACGAACGACAGCCCTTTGCTGCTCACTGAATTGCTTGATGTCTCTTACCCTGTTATGGCCTGTAGACACATACTCACTAGGCATTGCTGGTTCAAAACCAGCCATTTCAGAAGAAAAAAAAAAAAAAAAAAGCTCAAGAACCTAGTAAGAAAGTAACAAGGCAATCAGTGGTTAAACTGAACTGTGCATATAGGGGCAGCTGGGAGAGTATCTTCCACAGGCATTTCTCATATCCAAAATATGTGAATTTGTTGATACTCCTGTGACTGTTCCTGTAAATTCAGAGTACAAATAAGTCTTTAAAAGGCTAAACAGCATTCTCTGAATTCACTGGACAGAAGATCAGAGTAATACAATTTCTCAAAAAAAAAAAAAAAAAAAAGCTCAAGAACCTAGTAAGAAAGTAACAAGGCAATCAGTGGTTAAACTGAACTGTGCATATAGGGGCAGCTGGGAGAGTATCTTCCACAGGCATTTCTCATATCCAAAATATGTGAATTTGTTGATACTCCTGTGACTGTTCCTGTAAATTCAGAGTACAAATAAGTCTTTAAAAGGCTAAACAGCATTCTCTGAATTCACTGGACAGAAGATCAGAGTAATGCTACAGCCCAATTCTATAGGGTGTAGAACATGTGCTCTTGGCTTGGATGCATCTTCAGTAATGGCCTAGAGTCCTCCCCTTCAGAAAAGTTTCTGGGATACCCACTTAGCTTCACAGGTTGGGAAAGAGAAAAATTTGACTCAGTTAAATTCTGAGAAGAGAGAATCCTCTTAAAATGCCATTTCCCTACTAATTTACAAAATAAAGTATTCTTGACTATTTTGTCTGATGTTACGTAGGGATCCTGGGGGAAAAAACTAGTATGAACACCCCATCATCAGTAAAGATTAAAAACTGTCTGGACCATGTAAGAGGCATATATGCCACTGTTCTTTCCGTGGGATTTTTTTTTTTTTTGGTAGTTTTCTTTTTGTGTGTGTGGTTTTTTTTATTTATTTTTGTTTTTTATTTATCTTTTTTTTCCTAAAAGTGCCCAGGCGGGCTTAAGGCTGCCAGGCTGCACGCACATCTACGGCAACAAGGGCTTCTCCTATTCCATCTACAACTTATACCAGGAGGAGCAGGGGGCATGGGAAAGAGAGGAGGGGGACACAGCCCCTCACTTCCCTGCCAAAAAATTAAAAAGGAGGGGGAACAACCCACCTCCAGGAGATCTATGGCCTATGTGCCAAGCATAATGGAAGAGTGTGCTCCCAAACAGCCAGTTCTGCACAGGCTAATGTTCCGCTGGCTTTCCTTAGAGACCTATTTTGAAAAGTTAAAAATACAAGAGATTTTAAAATAATTCAATCCTGGCAGAAATTCAAACTCCAAAACTAGGAGCAAAATCATCCTTCACTGAATTAATCCCTTTTTTCTTTCTCTTTAACATTTTATTCATGTTATAGAGGTTATTTTGTTGTTGTTATTTTTCTCTATCTTTTTGGTGTTGTTTTTCTAGGTCCAAGGTTTTATTTATTTTTTTTTCTCTTTAACATTTTATTCATGTTATAGAGGGATTTCATTTTTGTTTGCTTTTTTCCAATCATTAGGAGAATGGTTGAGGAGTACTGCATCCACTGCTACTTTGATGACACAGGTAAGATTCCAGATTCACATTTCCAGGTACCGAAAGTTCCCTCTAAACACCACCATCAAGTCAGCCTTCGTTTCTGCATCTTCTTACTGAACACAGCAATGCCCATTGGTATCTCTGAAGCGTAGTCGCATCTTAGGTCGGTATTTCTCCAAATAAAGCAGCTGTTTAGAATTGAATGCTCCTCTTCTTTTTCTGAAAATACAAAAAAAGCAAACTTTATCATGTTATTTCTAAAAGGCCTGTCTGGTTCACTCAAATGATAAGGCCCTTCTAATACCATACAGTTAAAACCAGTGTATTTTTCATACCATATTACCTTTTTTTTTTTTTTTTAAAGAATTATCTGATTTAATTTTATTGTCTTTTTGTTTTGTTTTGTTTTGGAAGTTGACCAGAGAGAGAGAGAGAGAAGGAAAGTGAAAAAGCAAGTTGCCAGGTCTGGAACTTGAACCACAGTTAGCCATGTGGGAGTTAGCCACCTTAACCACCATGCCACTTGCTAGCTCACCTTTTTTGGAGAGGTTTTTGCTAGAGGATGAGTGCGCTCACCAGAGATAGAGAGAGACAGAAAGCGAAAAATCACCCCCCAGGGGAGATGGCCACTCAGCAATCCCTTCTCCTCCATTCTCCTCTTGGGATCTTGGGCACGCACACACGTGTCCATCAGTGAGTGTATGCCACTGGGTCCGGGACTCAAACTGCAGTCAACTAAGTAGGAGTCCAGCAACACAGCCATTATGCCAACTGCTGTTCCCTCACTCGTTTTTTTTTAAAGGGAGATTTTTGCTATAGGACGTGTGCACTCACCAGAGAGAGAGAGAGAAAGTGAGAAAAATCACCCCCCAGGGAGATGGACACACCACAGTCCCTTCTCCTCTCAGGATTTTGGCTATGTAGGAACACGTGCCCAGTGTGAATTTCAGGTTTCCGGGTCTGGGACTTGAACCACGGTCAGTCATGTGGAAGTCCAGCACCTTAACCACTATGTGCCTGCTGGCCCACCACATCACTCCTTAGAGAGCTAAGTTGTAACATGGACCTGTCTGAGCATTCCTAGAAGGAGCAGACAGATGTAAGTCTAGAATGGCTCACCCAGAAACATCGGACTCTTCCCAGTTACACTAACACATAGTCTTCAGATTAAAATTATTAGCCAATATTTAGGATGCTCTTTTCTTTTAGAACATATCAGCACTGGGGCCAGCAGGTGGTGCGGTGGTTAGGGGCGCTGACGCCCACATGGCCAACCGCGGTTCGAGTCCAAGCCCTGGCAGCTTGTTTTCTGGCACACACTCCCCTCCCCCCATTCCCCGGCCCTCTCTGGTCAAACTAAAAAAAAAAAAAAAAAGTATCAGCACTAGAAAGTTTAAACGCATGCACACGCACACACACACGCACACACACGCAGGCTCAATACATACCCTGATGGCATTCCTTCACGTTACTATCCTTGAACTGATCCCATACATTTGTGTGCCCTCTATCACAGTCTTATTTCTTTCCTTTTTTTTTTTTTTTTTAAGGAAGAATTGAAAGGAGAAGGGCAAGACAATAACTGTCATTAATTCTGAACATGAAAACAGTACAGCCAGCATTCCAAACTGACCGCCAGACCATGTATGGGCACTGACCCCCGTGTGCCTGCACTCGTCATATTCACCTGCCCTCTCACCAATTGACTACCACCGATTTCAGAGCCCAAGTGACGGACTCTTCCTCCATGCATCCTTCTCAACTCTTGGTCATCTGCCAACAGTGCAAGGTTGGTGCAAAAGTAACTGAGGTTTGGCACTGTTGAAACTTGCCATTTGATATTAGAATACACTCTTAAATAAACGTGGTCATGTTATACATCATTTTAATGCATTATGTTTTTTTGCTAATGACTTAATACCTTTTATTTTATATGTATTCTAGACTATGGAAATTATGTTAGAAAAAAGCAAATAATTTTCTTATTCAAATTCAAAATGGATCAGAAAGCACTGGCAACAACTCACAACATCGACGACACACTGGCCCACACTGCTCTATGTATGTACAATGCAGTGGGGATTCAAGACATTTTGCAAAGACAAGAACCTTGAGGATGAAGAGCATAGTGGCAGGCCACCAAAAGTTGACAACCAACCGAGAGCAATCATGGAAGCTGGTCATCTTACAACTACACAAGAGTTGCCAAAGAACTCGACATCGACCTCCCTAGGGTCATTTGGCATTGGAAGCAAACTGAAAAGGTGGAAAAGCTCGATAACTGGATGCCTCATAAGCTGACCAAAAAAATTTTTTAAAGTTTTTGAAGTGTCACCTTCTCTTATTCTACACAACAACGAACCATTTCTCGAGTGGATTCTAATGTGGGACTAAAAGTGGGTTTTATATGACAACCTGCTCAGTTGTTAGACCGAAAAGAAGCTCCAAAGCATGTTCCAAAGCCAAACTTGCACCCTAAAAATGTCATGGTCACTGTTGTGTTCTGCTGCTAGTCTGATCCACTATAGCTTTCTGAATCCCGGCAAAACTATTCTGAGAAGTGTGCTCAGCAAATCAATGAGAGATACCAAAATCTGCAATGCCTGCAGCCAAGATTAATCAGCAGAAAGGACTCGATTCTTCACAAGACCTGACCACACGTAGCACACCATCACTTCAAAAGTGCCTATGAAGTTTTGCCTCATTCACCATATCCGCCTGCCTTCTCACCAACCGACTACCACTTCTCCAAACATCTCAACAACATTTTGCAGGGAAAATGTTTCCCAAGAGTCTGCTGAATCCCAAAGTATTGACTGTTACACTACAGGAATAAACAAATTTCTCTCGTTGGTAAAAATGTGTTGACTACAATGGTTTCTACTTTGATTAATAACGATGTATATAAACCTAGTTAAGATACTTTAAAATTCACAGTCCAAAACTGTAATTGCTTTTGCACTAATCTAATAATTAGAAGGTATTTTAGAATCTATTAAAAGGTACACTAGATCAATAAGACTCTACCTATTCATTTTTAAGACCTCTAGATATTCAAACTATATACTGGATATATTATATAATGTCCAAATCTGCCACCCAAATTAGAGTATCTTTAAATCTGAGAGTAGCATTAAGGGATCTTATTACTCACAATAACTTTTTTGTATCTTCAAACAGTATTTTAAGCAAAAGATAGCAAATCATTCCATACTACAAACGGATACTATGTGTAATTCTTTTTTTAGAGGTTTTTGCCATAGGGCCCATGTGCTCACCAGAGAGAGAGAGACACTGAGAGGGAAAGTGAAACATCACCCCCAGCAGGGATGGCCATGCTGCAATCACTCCTCTCCCTGGGATTTTAGCCACACATGCTCATGCACCCAGTATGATTTCCAAGCACCGGATCTGAACTTGAACCGCAGTCAGCCATGTGAGGGTCCAGCGATGTAATCACTATGCCATCTGCTGGCCTCCGTAATTCCTTCTTTATGTATGATCTTACATTATGTGTTTCTGAACATAAAACTTCATACTCACTGTCTTATAAACTGAACTGCATCTTCGTACTTCATTCCACATTCAATCAAAGCAAGTGCAACCAGCACAGGTGCCCTGCAGAGAAACCACACATAAATACCCACAAGGCTTTGGAATTACAGGACTTTTAAGAACCCAGTGTTACATAAAACAAAACAAAGTTCGAGTTTTCCTTTCTCCTGTATACTAAAACATCAGATATCTGACCCACGGACTGTGGCACAAGCAAGAGGGCACCCGTGTGCTGTGGCTGAGGCCACACAAGAGGCCTGGGCTTGCTCCTAGCCCAACCTAACAGGCCAGGTATGGTGGTCCATGCCTATGATCCTAGCTGATAGTGAGGCTGGCTGAGGCAGGAGGATTGCAACATGGTGACACTCATCAAAATTTCACCCAAGTCTCCAAAAAATAAATTCTTCATAGGAACTATTAACCCCAGTAAAATAAATGGTTAAACATATCATCTTCAGTGTCAGAATTTTCATTATAATTTTATTATTTATCTATCAGATGCTAAAAAGGTGCTAGACTTTCTCAAAAAAAAGTTTTGATGAGCTTTGGTGAGCTAGGAGAATGACAAAGAACTGGTAATTAGAAATAATTCTCTATGTTTTCACAGAATCTAAGAAAGGAAACGATGCTTTAAAAAAAAAAAAAAAAAAAAGCTCATTACAGGGCACCAACTTGAATCTCCTTAAGTAGAATAGCTACTAGTTAAAAAACTGCCAAGTCAAGTCACACCACCGTCAGCCCTCAGGAGAAGGACTGGAACTTCTGACCTCAGGAACAAACTGTACTATGGTAAACTGCAAAACAAGGAAAATAAAGCAAACAAAACGGGTAAGCAGAGTAAAGCCTGAGTCACCACCACCTTGAGGCACCAGCAGCCTGCGCTAATGTTTTGAGTCAAAGTACACATCATAAATTGGCATTTAATCTGCTGCTGATGAGTGCTGCCACATCGTTCCAAGTGACGCTCTAGGGGAAAAGATTTTAAAATCAAAGTCAACTCTCAAGGTCCACACAGCTCCGCCTGAGGATTTAAAATTCAGCCATGTGCTCTCTACCTATTAACTTCCCATTCATCTCAGTGCAAAACTAACCATGTCTACATTCTTCAAACCTAAAATGATTTCAATTTTGTTGCTCACTTTAAGGACCTGAACTGCGATGACTTGAAATAGGGAAAAATACGGAACGTTCACTAAATCCAGTATGGCACTGGAACCGACAGCCAGATGAAACACAAGACTATTCTGAGAAATTGCTGCAGTTGCTTTTGCTCTCATTTCCTTCCTTTATGGGTCATTTAACGTTATTTCATGTAATGCATGTAAATTTCTACCACAGTGAAATCTGTGGTAGAACTGGCTTGCTTAGGCCTAATAATGAACTCACAGGCAAGAGTATTGAAAGCTTACCTTCCCAATCCTGCAACACAATGCACTGCAACACAGCAACCTGGTTCTTCACGAAATTTGGTTTTTAACAAGTTTAGCCAATCATCTACTATCTGATTAGGGGGTGGAGCTCCATCATCAAATGGCCAATCCTAGAAAGAAATGATCTTTCACATTAAATTGATTTTCTCCAGGATTAACATGTAATGCATAATGCCTGCACACAGTTCACAAGGCAGGCTATTATATACCTATTCTTAACACAATTCTGATCACTGCCGAAAAATTATCCAAGATCAAAATTAAGGTAATGCATTAGCCTTCTCAATGAAGTGCACTCAATGTCATAGACATATAAATTTATCTTATGAAATTTTCTTTATCAATATTAAGAGCCAATGCTCTCCCAATATTTTATCTGTATAGACTAAGTAGACATAATAGAGAAAAACTGAAATGAAAGCCAAGATGAAGTAAGAGGGGACACAATACATGTCAATGTCATTTAGAAGTTCACTCTATGGGAACAGCAGATGGCGTAATGGTTATGTTGCTCAGCTTCCACAGAGTCAACAGCAGTTGAGTCCCAGAACCAGCAGCTTAAAACGCAGGCTGGCTGGAAGCATATGCGTGCGTGCCCACAATCCCAGGAGGAGAAAGAGGAGAGGAAATTGCAGCATGGCCATCTCTGTGTACGTGTGTGTGTTACAGAGACTATCTCTCTAGCACGTACACATGCTCTGTATCTATAGCAAAACTCTCTCTTAAAAAAGAAAAAGAGGGACCAGCAGTTAGCGTAATGGCTATGTCACTGGACTCCAACGTAGTCGACTGCGGTTCGTGTCCCGGATCCAGTGGCTTAAAACTCACACCGGGCGTGTGTGTGTGTGTGTGTGTCCAAGATCCCAAGAGAATGGAGAAGGGGAGGAGAAAGGAGGAGAAGGGATTGTGGCATGGCCATCCCCCCTGAGTGGTGATTTCTTGCTTTCTTGGGCCGGCAGGTGGCATGGTGGTTAAAGGCACTGGACTCCCACATGGCCGACCACGGTTCAAGTCGGACCTAGTGGCTTGCTTTCTCACTTCCTCTCTCTCTCTGTCTCTCTGATCAAAATGGAAAATAATAATGATAATAATAATAAATAAAGTTAAATAATTCTTTGAAAAAAAAAAAAAGAAAAAGAAAAAAAAGAGGGACCAGCTGTTAGTGTAAAGGCTATGTCGCTGAACTCCCATGTAGTTGACTGCGGTTTGAGTCCTGGACCCAGTGGCTTAAACTCACACCAGCGCGTATGCATGTATGCCCAAGATCCCAAGAGGAGAATGGAGGAGACGGGATTGCGGCCTGGCCATCCTCCCTGAGGGGTGATTTCTCACTTTCTATCTCTGTCTTTCTGGTGAGCGCACACACCCTATTATAGCAAAATCTCTCCAAAAAAAAAAAGAAATAAAATAAAATTTAAAAATAAATAAATAAATAAAAGGGAGCAGCAGTAAGTGTAATGGCTATGTCACTGGACTCTCAGGTAGTCGACTGCAGTTCACAGCCCAGACCTGGTGGCTTAACTTCAGAAGTTCGTATTTTGTTTGTACAGTTGTAACAAATAAAAAGCTGCATTTCGCACGTGTTTATACTTATTCCAGTGAAATCCAGCCAGGAGACTATAAATAGGATTAGAAATAGGATTGCAGGGGCCAGTAGGGTGCTAGACTCCCACGTGGCTAACCACAGTTGGAGTCCCAGACTTGTGGCTTGAAAATCTCACTAGGTGCATCTGGGTGCATGCTCAAGATACCAAGAGGGGGATGGAGAAGGGACTGCACAGCATGGCCATCTACCCCCTGCCCTGGGGTAGGGTGCT